GCAAAACTTGACTAGGAAACATTAAGTAACGACTAGATCTTTAATGTATAAACTTAAATTTAACTATTTTATGTTACGACTATTTGCCAATATAAATTTGTTCTATTGCGTGGCAATTATTTAAAGCATATTACACTATTATTACATCTCTACACTGTCACAATTTGTCTACAATCATGTACTTCCTTAGACATTTTTGAAACAAAATCGCGTGTATCAAAGCTGCACGAATTACAAATATCATTACATAACGAATATTAGGAATCGTGAAAATAGAATTTGTTATATGTAGTCAGTATTAATTGTAATATAAAAATGTACATTCTATTAGGAGCCATTTAATTTTCACGAAGATAAACCTTTACCAATTTGTAATAATATCGCACACTGTTAGTACTTTCTGCATTCAATATAAAATCGTAATCATTTAAATTTCTTTTTGTCAACGAATATCTTTTCAAAAATTATTACATTCGATGTGACTTTCAAGCGTACAACGTCTGTAAATTTTACGTATCATCAATCTCGAATGTACTTTATAAAGATACATATTTAATTTAATAAAGAATCTCTTATAAATCTTCTTTTTGCAAAAATTAAATTATTATAAATAAAACTCAATCGTTTAACTTCATACAATTAATTAGGACGAGATAACAATACTGCTATAAAGTGATATAAATCTTTCTATGTTTCTCACATTTACAAATTTTTTACTTTATGCTTTATGTTATCTCGGTAATGAATGCTATCTTCTTTGGTTATACGATCTAATAGGTTGTATCCCAATGATTAAAGTGTAAATTCTGTCTAGAAAAAGCACCAACTGGAAGTGACTATATTAATTTAAACGAGATATAAATAAACTATTTCTATGATAATTAGGCATTGAATTTTTGTTGTTTTTCTTATTAAAATATACTATAAATAACATTAACAGCCTTTTCGGATAAATAATAATGAAAGAATCATCGTATTAACGGGACAAAGAGTTATGAAAATACTATTACTGCCATACTGAAGTTAGACTTAAAAAATGACAAACATATTATACATTTACAATGTATAACAGTTTACTTTCTTCTTTTTCTGAGTTGGTAACTAATTCTAATTTTACATAATGTTATAGAATTTATGATAAAAAATATGAGTTGCAGTCTATGTTTTGCATCTCCATTACTATTATCAAAATATAATGGGGTTGAAGGCAGTGAGATGTTAATAAGTCTCTAAACAGGGAGACTACTATTAAATATAATCAAAATTATTGAAATTTCGTTCGTTGTAATCTATGGAAGTTCAAACTGGGTTTCTGTGTGTCATTCATTTAAAATATATGCTATCAAAAGGTTTCCTATTAGACTAATTTCATTTAAGGAGAATAGTGATGATTGTTGCTGTGTCTTTGTTTTCTTCTAAAAATAAAAGCGAAAATCGATCGCAATCGCCACCAGCGACTATGTTTACGCACTGAATTTCGCGACCTTTCTTTAGCACGAATTTGTCTTACTAACGAATGAAATGCATCATCTATGAATTGTCTGAGAGCAGCAGATGTTTCATAAAACGGACAACCAAGCTGTTCTGCAAGTGCTTTACCTTCTTCTGTAGTTACCTACAATATAATTATTACATACATAAAATCAATAAAACCTAGTTGCAATTAAATATTCTACCTTTCTTTTGTGCTGCAAATCATATTTATTGCCAATCAATACCAATGGAATATCCTCATTAGCCCTCACACGCGATATTAATTTTCGATATTCTAGAGCTTCTTGAAAGCTATGCCTATCAGTTACAGAATAACATATCATAAAACCTTCTCCGCATCTCATATATTGATCTCGCATAGCTGTAAATTCCACCTATGTACAAAAAGTGTAATATTGTAGTTATACCCTCTTACGATCAACATCATCATAATAATTCATCCTCACCTGTCCTGCTGTATCCAATATATCTAAGAGCGCAGCCTCTCCGTCTATTACACTTTGTAGTTGATACGAATCCTCTGGTGATAACAAAAAAACCAAGTTATATACTAGGTATATACAAACTAATAATAACACTAGAAATATACTGCTAACATACACAAAACAAATTCTTACCTATAGTTGGGTCATGGTAGTCAATAAAACTGTGACTAACAAACTGCAAAGTGACAGCTGAAAAACCATTTCTATAATACACGTGTATTAAAAGAAATTCCTCGAGCAACGAAAGATCAGATTCGAAATACCTGATTTACCAACACCACCGTCACCCAAGACGACGATCTTGTAAACCCTAAGTCCACGTCTGGTAGTGGGCCGCGGACCTACCGGTACATCATTCTTGCCGTTCAAGGCTACGCTCTTATCCTGCAGGATATCAGCTGACATTGTCGGAGAATATTCCTGCTCACCGGTAACCTAATGCTCGTCACGGTTACGGCACACGTCGCACTTTTACGAACTAACTGACATACTTGGTCACGTATCGGAACACGCGCGTAGACACACCCGTATCGGTTGTTAGATCGGGAAAGATAGGGTACATGTTTGATCGCGATTGCAAGCCGCCGTTTTTCCTGGCGGCTAGAAACCGCGCCGTGCGACACTTAATGCCTGCGATTTACACTTTCTAAAGTTGGACACAGCATGGCTGATGAGCACGGGCTTACGACCGGGCTTGACAGAATGTGACAGCCGCGGAGATTAAGCACGCGCGCAATCGTGTTCCAGGGGCGTATTCATCGCCCCTATTGTCAGCATAATGGACCTGCTTATTTATACTTTGCTTAAATTGAAACTTTTCTAGATCATTTTATTGATTATATTCAAGTCAAAGTTTTGTTTTGTACCGAATTATTTATAAAAATACTTAGGTTACTTGTTGACTTACAGCAATAAATATTTTTGATATTTATCCGATCGCGATAGTAGAAATTAATTATTCAGTTATGATTCAAATGAAAATAATTTGTTCTTGCTGTGTTGAGTTAAGACAATGAGGCAGGACTGATTGTATGGTCCATCTACATAGAACAATGGCCCATGTTTGTGCACCTGTCCCGTATTGCAACCATGTTACTGATCATAAATTTTGATCAATATGAAATATACCGGTGCAACATGCATGCGTAGGATAAACTATAATATCAATAAACTCTACATGACAAATTGAAATATAATAGTATAATTAGTTAAATTATTTAAAATTATATTTTTAATTAGAACTGAAATTTTAGGACAATACAAATTATAACTGTTTCGCTTCGGGAATTTTACTTTGAAGAATTATAAGGTTGTTATTGACACTTAATATATTGTTGCATAAATTTGAGATATTTGCAAATTACTTATATTCGGAGAAACTATATGTACTTTATAAAATTCTTACTCTATAATTTAACGATGTAGCAACAGAATAATATTAATGAAAAGTAATGAAGAGTGAAACTATTTTGCGATGATAGTTTTTATTTTTCAAAGAAATCATCGCGAAATCACGCGGTTAACATCTGGTGTGATTTGCGTGCGGACAAGTGCAGAATTCAGGCGAGTAAAGCGTCAGTACCGCTATGGTCTCTGATGTCTCAGTGGTAGGGTGTTAGAAAACCTTTCGTGAATAAATTGTGAAAGCAAAATTGTGTTAATCCTGATAGGGGTAGAAATAGTGTATCTATATTCTGACATTGACACACGGGATTGACGTGCGTGGATAAATTGAATTTTTTTAAGCACGTACATGTTTGGTTGCGGAGGTTATTGTTATTATTTCAGGCATCGAGCATTATGAAGACTTTCTCTAACAAAGCGAGTCCGAATGATGTGTATCCAATTAAATGTCAACATATGCAGCTGGTTTCGGTGAAGAAGAATATTGGTGCAGATGTAATCCACGAACATGTTCCCTATCACCGCAACATTGTTTCGAGAACCCAAATGACATGTTTGGCAGATTGTTATTGCCAAAAGGCCGAAAACACGTGGGCATTTTAACGGCCGTGTATACATAATAGATGATAATGAAATAAGCATACGTGCAATGTCCCTCGCGTTTTTGATACCTGAGTTCTTTGGTTCTTAAATTAACATTTTCCCCCAACACACGTTGCTTCTTAACACTCAAGTAGAGTGGAAATAGAGATTACATGCTTTTAAGTATCGTTGAACAGGGTACAGATACATAAGACAGAAGTTAAGAATAATTATGAAATTTTTGAGAGTAATAGAACGTTCATGGATTTATGGTCGATGAGTGCATAAAGATGTGTACCTTAAACAAAGCCGTAGGTTTTTGTATTTCTCATAGAGCTAAGGGAATTATATATTACGTGATGATATAGAAACTAATGGATACACATTTATTTTTCAGATACTCAAATTCCTCAATAGGAGATATTATAATACATTAATTTATAAGTTGATTAGAAGTGTTTAAAGAAGTCGTACAGTACAATAACAAGTAACATGGTTTTTTGTATGTACATGTGCTGAAACAAAATTTTTGTAAAAATGTCGGTTGCCTCATCTTCAAAAAGTAAAAAAATGGATAATGTAAATAATAAAGAAGAGAAGATATATGAGAAATGGGAATGTTTTCATAACTGGGTACATTGTATATGTATTGTTACATTTGATCTTGAATTAGGCCAAGCTATAGAGGTACATATACTTATTATATTTTGTAATTAAATTTTTGTACAATGATAATATATTTATAATATATATTTTTATTCAACAGGCTATATATCCAGGTCATATCATGTTATCTGAACAAGAGAGGTCTAATGTCTGTTATCTTGCTTTTCCTGATTCCAATTCTGGCTGCATGGGAGACACTCAATATCATGTCAGAATAAGACAAAATGGAGCTGTCGTACAGGACACTAAAGCTTTAAAAGAATATGATAGAAGATCACCTCCATTTTTACAATGCGACAAAGACTATTACTGGGGTTACGTGTACTTTCGTCAAGTAAAAGACAAGTCTCTTCCAAGAGGATATTTCCAAAAGGTTTATTGCATAGACCAAAATAACAAAAATACCAGTGGATCTTTTTTAACTGTGACTTTATCCTTGTTTCAGAGTATTGTTATAATTACAAAACTGCCATTTGTAAATCTCTTTGGTGAACTATGTGCTTTAATTGCACCTGAGTTTTTTGAAGTCGGTAGTGCTGTTATGGAAGCCATTGTAAGAGAAATTGATCAATGGCCACCTCCAGTACCTGGTCAAATAGTACATTTACCACTTATAGGAGTTTTATTTCAAGTAAATATTGATATACATCAATAATGGTTGAACAATTAGTCATCATAAATTAATTTTAATTTATATTCTAGACATATATTCCGAATCAAAACTATAAATCAACTGTACCCACTATTGCTGCCATAGATCATGCGCCAAATTTTCACGCAACCCGAAGACTAATTTTAACATCTGCCTATGAAGGTGATATGTTTAGAAGTTTAGCTAGTGTTGTAAGTTATGTACATCTACTATGGGAGTTAGTATTACTTAGTGAACCAATTGTTGTTATGGCTGGTTCACCTACTGGATGCTCTGAAATGGTACAAGCACTCATTGCGTGAGTATTTTTAAGTAATTTACAAGAACAGTTATAAAGTAATAAACATGACAAAACTAAACTATGTTTAGGATGATAGCACCACTGAAATACTGTGCCGATCAACGACCTTATTTTACAATTCATGACTCTGAGTTTAAAGAGTATACTACAGATGCTCCATCGCCCCCAGCCGTAATATTAGGTGTAACCAATCCATTTTTTGCCAAGACATTACAGCATTGGCCTCACATTATCCGAATAAGTAATGGAAGTAGTAATGGTAAGTTTTACAAAACATCATAAAAATAGGAAATATTGTAATATATTGTAAAATATTGGAAATAAAAATATTCATATTGTTTCCATTTTAGAAAATCAAAAGTACAAAATAAAGAAGTCAGAGAATCTCAAAGTGTTGGATTCGAAACCGGGAGTGTACACACAATATAAACCATTCCTTCAAAAAGACAAGACTATACTCAAAAAGTTATTCAGGGGAATCCAAACCAAGAGACCAGGCGAAGTGCAAACGGCTCTCCTGAAACGTCATTTGATAGAGTTAACGGAAAGCTTCATGATACCTCTTGAAAGATATATTGCAACTCTTATGCCGCTACAAAAGGACATATCACCCTTCAAAGTAATTATTATTTTATTTTATAAATTCGGGGCTGGAACAACGTTAAATCATGTTTCTTTCAGGCTACACCCATACCTGAATTGTTTAATCCAGATGACTTTTTCGCTACATTGAGTAGTGCTGGACCACAGTTGACTACAGGCATTAAAGGAGATTGGGTAGGACTGTACAGACGATTTTTTCGTTCACCAAATTTTTCTGGTTGGTTTCATACCAGGTATACTGAATTATCACAAAAATTGCAAGTCATACAACTTGAGGCACTATCACAAGCGGTATGTTTTTGAATCATTTCATATTTTATTTTCAGTCCTAACTGTAATTTTATTCATTATAATCAAGTGTAATCGATCTAGGATTTAAAGACATGGGTACAAGGGAAGCAAGAGGTAGAACTAGTTGATATGGTTCTCAGGATACGACAAAAATTAGAAAAGACATATATCGATGAGGTACCTATAGGTAAGTCTGTAAAAGAAAAGCTTCAGGAACGAATAAATGACATTACGCATACATTACCAGACGATCTGAAAGATATTTTGAACCATGAATCTTGACATTATGATTATTCTATAAATATTAAAACTCGCTAATGGTGACTCCGTGTAGATATAAATTGAAATCATAATGGCGGAACTGTAGACTAAAAATATGTCCAAACATCGCTCTCTGTCGATAAATGTAAACAAACTAATATGAATGAAAAAAAAAGAATATTGTATAAAATAT